CAGATTAACTCTGGGAAACTCCATTGATCCTCCCTGACTTAAGGCACACCCTATTCTGTGTGTTTACACTCTGACAGCCTGGTCACTGGACCTGTTTATAAGACGTCCACCATTCTCAGCACATTGGTGGAGGCTAGTCTTTTCTACACCGAAAACAAACAAACAAGCAAAACTGTATACAATAGGATAAAATACAGCTGATAATTATGATGCATTGGGAACAATTTAAGGAAATCATCAAATTGTGTTTATTCTGTTATAGTAAAACATATTTTGTAGCACTTTAAATGTTAACCAGCCTTATTTTGCTAATAGAACCTTGTTCATCCTTTCCAATTTTCCATTGGTCAATAGGTGGCAGCAATGTGGCATGAAAGATCAACAAAATTAAATCCTTAAAATATTGCAAACTCTATGCTTAGAGCCCCTATAAGTCAGGTCAGAGTCATATTTGTTAAAGCTGCATTGCTAAAAATATATCTTAAGCCTGTTTATCAAACTGCCATAAATATTTATACAAACAAGCAAAACATGAGGGGGATACAAATAAAGCATACTGTCTTGCTGTTAACAGAAGCATGTGTGTTAAATGCAGACATCTGGCCACTTCCTACAGTGTATGAGATCAGCACCCATTTGATAAAACTCCTTATGTGTTCATGTACTCGGAAACTTACAGGCTGCATCACCATCATTTGACCTAAAGGGGCCAACAGCGTTTACATTAAAATGTTTGGTATTTTGCACAGGTAGGATTGAAAGATACTGAATGGCCTATAGATTAACACAGAAATGTAAGTGCAAGTATCTTTTGTCTGGGGTCTTCAAGTTTCAATAATATGAGATTCAGACCCTTTTTTAAGTACGTGATGCGTCTTATTCCTTTTAAACAGATTTTTTTCATTAATTAAAATTTTTTGCAGCTTAGAAATAGCCTATTTTTTACTGGGTGCTTTAAACAAACCTCAACAGGTAGCCTGCAGTAGCAGTGATATACCAGGAAAGGTCACTGAGTTTGTGGGAACTGGACTTACGCAAATGACAACATAGGCACCCCTATGTTGGACGAATGCCACACATGCTTTTGCATCATGAGCTGATGCTCTTATGGCCCTTTTTACCAACTTAAAGAAGGGCAACGTGTACGTGATCACAACACTTCTTATTAGGAGGTTCTTTTCTTTTCTTCTCATTCATTATACCTACATTATACCCCTGCCAATTAAATTACAAATAAAGTTAAATTCAGTTTTTTTTTCCTATAGCACCAATTCACAACACATGTCAATGTCAAATTCACTTTACAGAGACAATTCAACCAGATCAAATAATCAGATTATTTCACATTTTTCTATCTAAGGAAAACCAGCTGATTTTATCGACTCATCGACTCGACAATAATCCTTCACACCAAGCATGCTTGTAGTGACAGTGGAGAGAAAAACTGCCTTTTAACAGGCAGAAACCTCCAGCAGAACCAGTGTGAGCGGCCATCTGCCGAGGCCGACTGGGGATCAAGGAGACAGAAGCAGACATACAGAAAGAAGCAGATATACTAAAGGTAACTGTCAACTAGCTCTACATGCAGTGCCATCCAGGAAAGACAGCCAGGCAGACGAGCTCCGAGTCAGCTCCCATGTCAGGGGATGAAAGAGAGCACATATAGTCAGTCACAGTCAGAGAAACAGGACTAAACTTAAACCTCCAACAGCTATAAACAATGGTGTACATTGCAGCAGCACAGCTCAAATTTGTCTCCAGCCAAAAAGGCTTTGAAGCTGGTAGTTAGTACCACAGGTGAGGAGCCTGATAACTAAAAGATCTGTTAAGACCAGATACTTGACCAGATGCACATAAACATTTGTGTATTTTTTCAATCAGCAGTCAAAATTAAATTAGACAAAACTTTTTATTTTTTTTATTTTAGATCAGTCAGGATCACTAAAATTATTATGTAGTATCTGTTTGTTAAATGTCAAAATATTAAGATATGTTGTTTCTTAAAGGTTTTATTTATTTATAACAGCATTTTATAGCACTTTACAATGCTGTCAATATTTGGTGAAAGTCCAGGTCAAATATATAGAGATGATGCTTTACAACCAGGTATCAAGTTAATTATCAGAATATCATATTACAAAATAAAAAAAATCCAAATATAAACACACAATTAAAGAATATTTAGGGTTATAACTAAAAGTGATTGAAAGAATTATTCTAATTTAATTGGTACTTTCAGACAAAGACTAAAACGTGAGGCTATAATTCTCTTTTAAACATCTATACAAAAGGAATGCTGCATATTTGTAGAGGTAAGTAGTTTGAGTTGGTTAGCAAATTAAATGCATGGTTGGCATTGTTTTTTTTTGTGCTTACATTCAGTAGAGGCTGCCAAATGTAGTTTTTGGCCATTAGAAGACCTATGAGAGCTTTGAACAACAAGGGATGCTCCTGTCTCTACATACAACTGAAACCAACTCAAAGCTAATCCCATCATACCAACTACCTGTATTCATCAACACAACAGGATATAATGATCTACCCCATCAAAAACTGCCAACAACATAGAAGCATTAAAATGTCAGAGCTGCCAGAGTCCACCTTTCAAGGAATGATGAAAAAAAATTAAGGCGAGTTGTTTAAATGCCTTTGTGGTATTTAAAATAATCAGGTCACAAATATCATTGGAATACAAAAAGATTTGAAGTTGATTATAAATTACTTTAAAACAAAAAAAACAAATAAAAAAATTCACATATCATACATGCACAAAAGTTTAATGTTAATGTTTCCAAAAAAAATCAAGACAGACAGGAAACAGAAACAGAGAAATGGCAGAATGATCAGATCAGTATTAAACAATAGAATAGTGAAATCCTACTCCTTGAATTTTATTATTTCCTCTCTCTAAACCTTTTCTTTTCTAAATTGTGTTTGGAAATATGGTCTCAAACACTGCATTCTGGTTTCAATGAGATTCTTTTTCCTCTCTTGAATGAGCAGCTTTCATGCCCCCCCATCTCTGAATCATGTGATCTCTGCTGCTTTAACTCATGCTCAAGGCAGACAGCTGCTTAGGACATTTACTTGCCGGGTGTTCCATTACTCTATGCTAATGCACCAGAAGCACAGCTGAGACTTTTGCTCCATCAGAGACACAGTTAAATAGAATATCATTAAAAGGGTATGCTATTAATGTAAATCAATTTAAAATGTTATTTTTTCTGTTATTGAGATGTCATATTTAACCTACAGGATATTTAAAACAATTTAAACACACGATCTACATGTTTTGGCAACCATGGTAATGACTGCTGATTGATAGTTGTCCAACTGACAGTCATGAAAATTCTCCACGAGGAGGTTAAGCCCAAAAAGTTCATCGCTGAATAAGTTGGTGTTTAAAAAAGTGCTTTGTTCTAGCCAGAAAGTTATGTAGAAGAAAAAGTGTGATAGAAAAGAGGGCAGAGTTACCAGAAATAAGATCTGCCTTCAAGAGATTGCTGATGTTGCTCTGATGTGTTTGATCAAATCAAGTCTATGCAGCCATCTACAAATTTCAATGACATACTGATTAGATTTTTCAACTTTACTATTTATAGCATTCTATGTTTTATTAGTTTTATTAAAAATAGAGTAACTCTACAATAAAAAGTATTATTATTATTATTATTTAAATATGATAAATAATATTTTCTTTTCAATGTTTCCCAGGCTAAGGACGCCCAAACTGATGGCGAGATGGAGCCGGGACCCCCAATTATATATATTGTATGAAATTGTGTTATATCAAACTCGTCCTATAGTCACTCTATTACAGATGGAGTAATGTAACAAAAGTAATTTCATCGTGGGACTATCAAAGTATTTCTGATTCTGATTCCTCGTTGATGGGACAGGTGTTGTTAATGAAACGGTGCCCAGCTTGAAAGAGCTCCTGCGTGTCGCTGAATGTTTGAATTGAGGATGTTTGAGAACTACAGAGAGGATGTGGAGCAGCTGGTGGACTGGTGCAAAGATAACAGCCTAATCCTGATCATCTTGAACTTCAAGAAGAACCGGCCTAACCACGCTCCACTGGTCATCAAAAGTTCAACTATAGAGGTGGTCAACAGCACCAAATTCCTGGGGGTGCACATCACAGACACCCTTACCTGTAACCACCTCACTGATCAAACAGGCACAGAAGCGCATGTACTTCTTGCATAGGATGAGGAGAGCCCACTTGCCCCCACCCATCCTCACAAAATTAAGTTAGAACTGTAAATATATAGTCACATATTTATATTACTATTTTTTTAAAGTATTTATTAATGTTTTTCAAGGCTGCACTTTAAAAAATGAAATTGTCAAAAGCTGTTTTAAATGAAATTTCTTTTTGTTTACGTTCGTACATACAAAATGACAAAATAAATCTCTATAAGTCAATAAGGACTTAAAGACATCTTCTGCATCCATTTATCTGTTTTCTACAGTTTGTTGTATTCGTGTTAATGTGCATTTAAAGACATTTCAATTAGTGGAAAAAATTGCAGGGAGGAATATATAAAAAAAGTCTTATCAACCAAAAATTTCACGACCCCCATGCAGTACCTCCACGGACCCCCTAGAGGTCGCGTACCCCCTGTTAAAGACCTCCGCTTTAGTTTTTTTTTTAAAATTATTATTATTTATTTATTTTTATTTTTATGTATTTTAAACAATTAAAAAAGTGGAAATATTTACAAAAAAAAGACCTCTTTATACTGAACATGGATCATATTATATTAATCTGGATCAAGGCCGTTTGCATAATAAATCCGTAAATTAATAAATAAATGTATTCGTATTATAATCTGATCATTTAACCAGCTATAATATTCCCCTAATGATCTTAATCTTTTAGAGTTTTACACCTTATTTGATTTTTGGTGCTTGATTTGTCCTCTGCTGCCTGTCCTTCGCAGGAGAAGTGGGAGGTGGAAAAACACCGAGAAAAGGGGCGGAGCTTTCGGAGGAGAAATACCGCTGCTGTCCTCCTGCGTCCATACTTCTCCATCTGTTAGGACTCCACTATACTGGAAGTGGATTCTGCAAAAGCGACTATTTCCTTTAACTGTCAGCTTTTGTGGCTGTTATATGTTGAAGTAACTTAAATTGCGTTTAACCTTTTTTGGACAATTCTGTTCCATTGCTAGCTAGCACTGCGAAGCTAACCGTTGTTAGCAGAGAAACCGGGTCAAGTGAAGAACCGAGGAGGAGCGGAATGGAAGGAATTCACTCTGATTCCCCTTCCAGGAGAAACCACGACTGAAAAAAGGAAACATTTAATCGTCTCCTATAATATCCGGTAAGTACCTGCTATAAAAGCTGTGCGAACCGAATATCGGTTTGTGAACTTCTTGTTAGCTTTCGGCTTCTTCTGTTATTATGTTAGCTAATACCAGCTGTTCGTTTCCAATTACTGTCATAATTATTGCTATAACGTCATATACTGAAGGTTTCTCGGGTAGTTTCCCATTTTAAATGTTTATTAAATCGCATTTTCAATCTAGATCCCATCAGTGTTATTTTACATAAGTGTTGGGCTACATTTTGTTAAAAAGTACAAGATACAGGGGAAAAATTAGTGCTGTACTCTCTTTTAATTTCAATATTTACCTGTAGCCCTCTTAAAATGTATCGGACTGATGTCATCTCCAGGTCGGGTTAAACCTGTTTTAAACAAAACTAGTTTAAACGGATAAAAACATGTTCCTAAACAGTATGAGGATATAGTGAGGTTATCACGCGTTTCCCTTTGGAGATTGATCTGTCCTTAAAAAAAAAAGGTATCATCTTTGGTACTTATACAAAAAGAAAAGGGAAAGTTATCAATATTTTTAGATAAGCTTTTTCGAAACTTCCAAAACAACACAAGTAGGCTATTTGATCATTTTCACAATGTGATTATTTGAATTTGTGATATTGCCTTTTTTATGATTAAGTTTTTCCCATTTGGCTGTAGGTTATTTCTAAAATTATTCAATAGTCACTCTGACATTTTGCCCCTTTCAGGTTCTGTGTTACAGATGTAAACAAGCATATTGTTCCCACACAAAACGTTGCCAGATGTCATTTTAAATGCACAAATTTCCTTTATATCTGTTTATTTGTATATTGCAACTTTTTTTTAATCACCGATTTCTATATATTGACTGATCTATTGGCCAGTTTAAACAAAAAAATATTTTGTTTCCTGATCAAACCCAAATCGTTTTGACTGTCTGCCTCTACATATTAAACATTTCAGTTGCAGAACTAGATGTTTTTTTTTCTTTTTTTAATAAATTAATCCTGATCTATGAACATACATTTGAATTTTGGTTGTTGAAACTTGTTAAACATACGCCTGAGGTATAGATGGTACTGAATATCCTAGATGAAAAGTCTGATAAAAGAGACTAAAGGCAGAAAAGTAAATAGAGAAGAGGTGAAATGACCTAAGACAGCTAACATTTTGTTATAGTAGTGCTCCTTTTTGTCTTAACGGAAAGTTATTCTGCTCCATCACTCATTCTATTCTCCAACTTGTCCTACTTCTCCAATCAATCTTTGCAGCAGCTATATCCTGTTCTGACAAACCAGTTTTTGTCAGCAACTAACTTGGCAAATAAGTTCTCCCAAGAGTGTTTACACTGTCACTTTCCTGTTATTCTCTGCTGTTTCTAATGTTTACCTTTTGATTAAACCTTGCACAATGTTGTGGCAAGAGTATAGCTACAGCTGATGTAGATGGCCGGTGAACCTATTGGAAGTAGAAGACATCACTTTTCAGGTTTATAAAAAAATAGCATTGGAACTTGAACCGTAAAAATGAAATGTAAGCAGACAAATTAAAATGTGCTTACTGAGGCATTCAGATGGTTAACTCGTACTGAGATCCTGTTTTGGTGTGTTTTCAAAGTTGCTGACTGTTCCTGAATAATGACGGTAATTATAAGGGGCTGTAGTAATATGCTGTATAAAATAACCTGTTAGTGTTTAGTCTGACCTCATTTTGTTTTTGTAGTCTGCTGTCCTCATACATGCTGGCCCAGAGGAGCAAAGCATAAAGCATTTATATTAAAAACCAGAGTCAAATTTACCAAAGTGAGAATTGACACCAATTAAAAAATAGAAAATGGGGAAGAAAAAAACCTAAGAAGGTATTGTTGTGTTTTGCACCTCAGAGCAGCTTTGCCATAACCCCCCTTCTTGCAGAAAGCCCTTATACTTCCAGTTTCAACATGTCCTGGCCAGTTGAGCAAAACTCCCTGCAAGTTTAAGCTTCAGGCACACACGGTGCCGGTGTAAATACAAAAATAAATTAAATACTTTCTCATCGCAGTTTCTGTGCTTCATTAAAGAAAAATATTTTTTTTTTAAAACCACTGGCCATTAAGCTCTTTATCCTCCAGCATCTAGAACATTCTGTTACAGACATTCCCACTGGCCTGTTTGAACAGAGGCCAGCTGCAGTGTGCGGTATGTGAGCGGCACCTGCTTTTTAATATTTCAATGAAATCAAGGCCTACTTTGCTGAGAAAGGAGGTTTGGCACAGAGTGCAGCTGAGTGTAGCCTAGTTTTATCCCCACTAGCTTGTGGTGACACAGTTCTCTAATGAATGAGAAGGATGTGCTGCATCCATTGATCGAAGGGATCCCTTTGACAGCTCATCACTACACTCACTATTTGCTGCCAAGATTGCTAAACATCACACTCAAAAACCATCCCCCTCCTTAGCTAAGTCTGTAGTTCTCCTTTATTCTACTGCTTTGTGTAGATTTATTTGATCTGTTTTGACTGTCAGAAATAACCCAGCTCATTTATATACATATAGTTTTTCTAAATGTTTGTCTATATGATGTGTTCTGCTTTCTGTCCAGGTTGTTGGTGTTACTGTAATTCCCATCATGGTGCAGAAGTATCAGTCACCTGTGCGGGTGTATAAACATCCCTTTGAGCTGGTGATGGCGGTAAGTCCTTTTACCTGTGGGGGCTAGCAATTTTCCTCTCTGCGAGACTTCTGAATGCATTATGTCGACTGTTATATAACACTGATCAGTGGGTGCTTCACATGGGCAGTGAAAGTGCTGATGACATTCAGTTCACATATTGAATTGAAATTACATTCTCAAATAATTTTCAAACATAAAGGTGAGGCATGCTGTTTGCCTGCTTAGGTTTGGAAATCGTGTTGCACGTTTGAGTTGGAGTGTGTAACTAGATTGTGGTTTTATGTGAAACAGAAAGCCTGCCACAGATTCAGTGGTTGTAGGGCCTTTCGAGGCATTAGAAATTCAGTTGCTAGCGTAGATTTTTACAGCTGACTGACTAGATGGATGAATCTGGTGAAGCTCAATCAGTAATTCTTCTTTCAAACGTGCATATTTGCGCACGTTGCAACTGAGTGTAAGGTGCTCTGGAGATGATGATAAAATAAATTAATATGCACTGTTTGTATTCTATTTGATTTAAAACTAGCATCGCTTTCAGAGGGCCTGCAACACAAAGATCAGAATCTAGCAATAGAAACTTTGTCAGTGTATCTCTGGAAATTAAAAAAGAAATGAAACGTATTCACAAATTGTTATCAAATCAGAAAATTTAAGTTAATGTAAAGTATACTCATCTAATTACTACTTACATAGTATTTCTTCATTTCTCTATAAAATGAAAATTTGCAGATTCATTATCTGATTTATGTAACCAACTAATACCTTCAAAATTGCTAATAAGCAGTGGCAGCTGGTGGAATTTTCTTCAGTGAGGGCTATGAATTCAAAATAGACGTATACCAAAAAAACAATCAACCGTATACTAAATTATCACACCAGTATATTTATATGAATGCCAAAAACAAAAAACATTATAAAAACAAAATGTAATATCTTGAACAGGTTTAATTTTTGTAAATAAATCTTAGACTTCTGAGCTGTTGTGGAGATAAATCTGTATTTTACATGCTCTAGTATTGTGTTACAAACCTTAAAAAATAATGTACCAGTTTGATAATAGAGAAACTACTAGTCAGCTTTATATATTTTTTAATATATGAAAACTATTTATTTTCTGACAATATGTTTATTCATGAGCAACTATGTAAATTAACAAACATTTAGAAAAAGTACACTATATTCTATTATTTTCCATGTGATTGTCCAGATTGTTCATTCTTCTTTGCCTTTTCTACAAAGTTCTTAAAATCAGTTCCACCTGTCTTTATCCATGCTGGGTCAGATCCTGACTTTTGAAAAAGGAGGCAGGAAAAGCAGAATAAAGCTACATGCTGCTAGCCAAACCGTCCCGAGCTCGCCTATACCTTCGTATTTCAGAGGAGCTACTGCGCATGTACAACTTAAAATGAGTCAGTGGGCAAAGATTTTTTCACCCTAGGGCCGAAATACGTCACAAATCTGACGAAAAATTGAATTATGCCTTACTAGTCATTAAAGATTATATATATATATATATATATATATATTTATTTTTTTTTCCTCGAAATATTTAAAATTTTAATTTAAAATGAAATTATAAAAAAACATGTTTTTATGTCTTGATCAGGGTCATTTGGTGTGGGGCGGCAGCCTAGCGCCCTCTATTGGCCAGCCGCTATTGCTAATAAGGCGGCTGAGACATAGTTGAACTCTGAGATTGGTGGTAAATGTTTTAAAATTGTTGCAAAAATTGTATGACTTAGTTTACTGCAGTAATTTGTTATTTTCACATGGTTTCAGAGCAGCTGTTTTCTTTAAATAGAGAACCGATTTGATGCCTGCTAGAGGGAGAACGCATGGAGACTAAATCTCCTTAGCTCACGCGGGACTGAGCAGCAGGCAGACAGATGGCTAAAAATAAAACGCAGGTAAAGGGCCATGTGTGCCTCCAAAGAGGAGTGCGCTGTGGTGATAGAGGCAGGGTTGAGTTTTTTTTTTTTCTAAAAGAGTTTTAAAAATGGGTCACATCTGGAGACTTATACATGTTTTTTAAACCAGGCCAGGAACACATAAAGTGGGTTCTATTTAGGTTTTTCTCAGACATAATGGAAAGATATCACTGACATTATATGTAGCTAATTTCAGTGTAAGTAACAGACAAATGTTTGGTTTAAAGCTTCAGTTGAGAGTTTTGGTTCTTTTGCTTTTCTTATGACTTTTCTCTGCAGTGGCCGTTTTTGCAGATGCTGCAGAGCACACTCTTTGGTGCGTTACCGTTTTCTTCCACCCCTCACTGTACAGCCAGTGAAAGCACTGGCGTTTTACTTGCTGTGTAGCTGCTTTGTCACTATTAGTAACACAAAAACATCCTGTCTTGTAGGAAAATCATCACATGATGCTGTGATGCAGCAAGACACAGTTTCTTGGTATCAACACAGCCTTTCATTTTCTCGTAATGTCCTAAGAGAGCTGCTCATTATGCTGTCTAGTTCCAAATCAGACTAGTGCTGCAATGGCTTTGTTTAGATTACTTACTTTTTATCTTGTTGAATTGGGTTTTACTAATTTTTTTGTGGAGCTTGATTACACAATGCTTAGGATATCTTGAATATATGTTATTTTTGGGCTTTACGTATTTACATCAGACTGTTGAATGAACTGCAGTAGTCTGTCACTTTAACTTGAGGAGGCACTTTGCTCACTGACAGCTGCAATTAAAGTTTTTAAACCTCTGGCTAACACAGCCGAGGCTCATTTGCGTAAGTGTGACTTGAATCCCACATTCCCTCCCCTCTTGGATCTCTGCGTTCTTGGTACACTCATTGCTTACAGCATTCTTGAGAAGAGAATGCCAGTTCAGATGGATTTTATGAGCTTCATTTTTTTGTTGGAACAAGTGAGACATACCAGCGCAAGAAAAAAAAAAAACTAAGACAGGAACATTTGAAGAGAATGTTCTTCTTTGTTTTGAATATCCTGAAATTCGAAATGTATTTTGTGGCCAGGAAAAGCCTCATCAATGCTGCTCTGTAGAACTGCAACGTCTGATGCACAAACTAGTTTTAAGCAGTTTAGTTTTAATTCAAGACTGTTTTGCAATGTCACTTTAGGTTTTACAGTAGTGATGCATTGGAAGTAGGAAAAGAAAAGTGATACCTGCTACTCAAAATGAGCTTTAAAATTTAACCAATTTAAAATGTTTCTTGTTCCATAAGAAGCGAGTTTTTACAAATGGAAAGGTACAGCAACATTTTAGTTGACACTTAAATCAAACAAAAGACTGCAACTTAAAAATCTGTTTGAGCTAAATGCTTGTCTTTGAGATGAAGATATAAAATACAAGAACAGTCGATGCTGTTGTCAAGATGATCATCTCAAAGTTTGAAGTTTGTTTTTTGGGGTTGGAGCCAGATGAATATAGTTGACAGTATCAGCAGCTTCTTTCGTAACCTCAGCTAGGGCAGACCCTCTTTCTCATTGCTGCATTTCAATAACAGGAAATGTAGTCAATGCTGTTGCAGCGATTAGCGCTGCAGCCCAGTGTCAGAGCCTCCAGGCAGTCCTTGGGGAGTCTCAGTGGAATGTCAAAAGCTCAACACAACACCCCTGTTGTTGTCCCATTTCTCTTCATTGAATCCATAAGGGACACAGTATTCTTGTCCTACTTTCTATCTGCACACTTCTGGCTGGATTTAAGGAAACAGGATGTGTAATGTTGGCGTACTGTCTACTGGGCTTTTATGCACAATAAGCAAGAGAAAACATTTCCTTCCTGCTGACTAAACTGTCCTAATATGTTGGAGGAACCACAACAGATTCAGCGAGATATTTAAAGGATTGTTATTGATTATTTAAAGGAATAGTACACCCATAACATGATTAGCCTTCATTTTC